CTTTTGCTGGTTTAGGTTTAATAAGCAACATTTTAAAAAAGATTTCTTTGCCCTGGAGGAGATGGGAATGGGGGGGGGGGGGGTTGGGGGGAAGGTGAGGGGGACGGGAGGGGGGAGAACAAGGGAATCCGTGGCTGATATGTAGAACTGAATTGTATTGCAAAATAAATTAATAAAAAAAAAAAAAAAAGATTTTATTCATGGGGAGGAGGAGGGAGCAAGTAATTGCAGGTACCAGCAGAGGCCAGAAGAGGGCATCAGATCCCCTTGAACTGGAGTTACAAGCAGTAGTTAGTTGCCTGATGTGGGTGCTGGGAGCAGAACTCAGGTCTTCTGTAAGAGCAACAATCACTCCTGACCACTAATCCATCTCTCAAGCCCCTGTAAACAACATTTTAAAAAAAAGGTTTCCTATATGCTTTATAGTTTGGTCTATCAGAAAAAGTTCAGAGATATGAGAAGTTAAAAATACAAAAGTGAGAGAGAGAGAGAGAGAGAGAGAGAGAGAGAGAGAGAGAGAGAGAGAGAGAGAGAGAAAGAGAAAAGAAAACTGAATGACTGGGAACAGGAAGCCTTAGTTTTTTGTTGTAACTCACAGATGCATAACTTTTTGCTTTACATGTAAAGCTTTTTGAATTTCTTTTTTAATTTTTTTTTTTTTTCGAGACAGGGTTTCTCTGTGTAGCTTTGCACCTTTCCTGGAACTCACTTGGTAGCCCAGGCTGACCTCGAACTCACAGAGATCCGCCTGGCTCTGCCTCCCGAGTGCTGGGATTAAAGGCGTATGCCACCACTGCCCGGCCTTTTTTAATTTTTTAATGGACACATTCTATCTGTGCTTCTTCTGAGGCTACGATGCTCTAATGTGATACCTGCACCCATGTATAATTATCAAATTGGGGTAGGTAGCATTTCCAGCCCGTCAATTATCATTTCTTCATGTTGAGAGTCTTCAAACTCTTCTCTAGTTATTTGAAATGTGTAACTGATTGTTCTTAGACTCTTGTCAGCCTACTGTGCACTCAAATATTAAAACTATCTTCATCTTTTCTCCAGGCCACCTTTACTTTCTAATGGCCTACTTTACTCTCTACTTCTGTATAATTAATTTTTTGGCTCTACAATGAGCAAGAACATGGTATTCACCTTCCTGGGCCTGGCTTATATTACTTGATGTAACATCCTTCAATTCTATTCATATTTCTGCAGATGACAGATTTTTCTTCCTTATTTATAGTTCAGTAATATTCCATTGTACATTTATAAGACACATTTTATCGTGTTTCTAGATAAATAATGGAAGACACAATATATTAAGCATGCTGTGTGGTTGACACTATAGGAAACTATGTTTCCCTTACAACTTCGAATATTAGCTTTTATAATTCCTAGTTTTCCAGAAAAGAAAACTCAGAGAGTCTGTCCAAGAAGATGCTGGGATATTAGAAGTCTAACTTTAAAAGCTACGCTCTTTAAGGTATTAGAAACAGGGCCAGGTGTGATGGACATCTTTGTTCCCAGCACCTGGGAGATGGAGGAAGGTCGGTTTCTCTGAGTATGAGGCCAGGCTGGTCTACATAGTGAGTTTCAGGATAGCTGGCACTACATAGTGAAATTCTGTCTCAATGATGTTGATGATGATGATGATGATGAAAACAGTATCGATAACTTTGAAAATCACTAATGTATGTTTTTGCCCCTTCTCAGAGCAATACAAATTGTTATGATTTGCATATGATTTGTTCCTCTGAACTCATGCATGAATTTGATCTCTAAAGTCATATGGCATTTTTATGAAGAGAGTAGAAATTTCATCCAGGTATGGTGCTTAGAGACTGAGCCTCTGGGAAGTGACTGGTAGTGAGGGTGGAGGCCTGTGGTTAGGACTAGCAGACTTTATTGGACCTCCAGCTCCCAAACCATGACATGGAGACATTATTAATTATGAATGCTCAGCCTTAGCTTAGGCTTATTTCTATCTAGCTTTTTTAACTTAAATTAACCCATTTCTATTCATCTATGTGCTATCTATGTTCTGTCTATGTGCTTTTCTGCTTCTTCTGTGTCTATCTGGCTGGCCACTGGTGGGCTGGCAGGCTCCCCTTTTCTCTCTACCCACCAGCCCCACTTATTTCTCTTCTGCCTAGCTATTGACTGTTCAGCTTTTTATTAGACCAATCAGGTACCTTAGGCAGGCAAGATAAAACAGCAACACATCTTTAAATAGTTAAACAAATGCAGCAGAAACAAAAGCAGCATGTCTTTTACATAGTTAAACAATTATTCTATTCCACAACAGTTGGGTCCAGGTGGCCTCATAAGGAGAGAGAAAAAGCCACATGTAGGCATGTACCTTTCCCACTGCTCTTCTGTGCCCTGCCCTGCCCTGGCCTGGCCTGCCCTGCCTGAACATTTTGAGCATCTTGAAAGATGACAAGTAGTGTAAGAACGTGAAGTCAGGGTTCTTTGGGGAAACTTACACTATTTGTTCATGAGACCTGTAAAGAATAATAAATAACTTTAGAATACTTCAGAAATTTTCATTTGAATTTGGGCTAGAGGAATCTAAAATTAAAGGAAGAAAATCTAAGTCAGTGAACTTCATACAGGATAAACAAATTCAGAGTTTAAAGGATTTTTCCTTTACATTGTGAAAATACAGATTCCATATTACCATAACTGGGTATGTTTGGCCTCTCACAAAGTTTTTGTGTTTTTTTTTTCACATAGTCTGTCTTTGTAGCTCAAACTCCTTTGCCCCCCATATTCTCAGTCCCCCTTCCTTGACCTCCTGTGAGCCAGGGTTGTGGCAGGCACACAGCCACACCAGGCTCTAGCTAGGGTCTTTGTGGGTACCACTGAGATTGAGCACATCTTTGCTTTTCTGCAAAATGAAACAGGGTTCTCATAGCCCGTGACACTGCACCCTCTGTCTTGGGGTCAGAATGCATTCTCAAAACCAGGTACAGATTCCATACTGATTGCACATCATTTTAAATGGAACACAAAGCCTAAGAAAACCCTCTAGCAATGAAGAGTAAGCATACAGCAGAAAGGGAAGGCCCTTCCTTTGATTCTGTTCATTCAGCACCCAGCAAATACGTACCCAATGCCTACTGTATGCCACACAATGTCCTGCCTAGATTCTGGAAAATGCAGAGACCAAAATAAAGATCTTCTTCTTATAGAATTTACATTCTACAAAGAGAAAGACAACAATAACCAAAGATTATGCATTGTGTTTGAAGGTGCTAAAGAATATACAGTGAGATGGGAGGTGGTAATGCACGCCTTTAATCCCTGCACTCAGGAGGCAGAGGCAGGCGGATCTCTGTGAGTTCAAGGCCAGCCTGGTCTACAGAGCGAGATCCAGGACAGGCTCGAAAAGCTACACAGAGAAACCCTGTCTCGAAAAACAAAAACAAGAATATAAGGTGAGAGGCAAGCAGCACTAGTGGGGAGATTGGGTTTTTCCTTTTTATTAGCCTGTTTTAATTATGCATAACAATAGGCTTCATTGTGATTTTTACTAGCATATATAATGTATTTTGATCATATATCCCTCTCATTACCCTCCTCTGACCCCCCCCCTCTCTCACTGGTCCTCTTCCTCTTCCCAGCTGAATACCCTTTCTGCTCTCATGCCGTGTGTGCGTGTGCGTGTGCGTGTGCGTGTGTGTGTGTGTGCACATATGTGTGCACGCATGTGAGAGAGAGACCCACCACATTTATTTGGGTTGCTTATAAGAGCAAAAGTGAGGTGTTATTTACAGGAGCATGGACAACTTACCACCACACCCAGCTACACTTGTTTATTTAACACAAAAACTTTTTGTAGCAGATTTATAGTTCCAGGGCTACTTTGTCACATATTTATTTTCATTAGTTACCAGTGTAAAATGTTATAAAATATATTTCATTTCTGTCTTACTTTGCTTTGTATAGCTGTGATAAAACACCATGACCAAGGCAACTTACAGAAAAAATGGTTTATTTGGGCATATGGTTCCAGAGAGATAAGAGCCCATCTCCGTCATGGAAAGGAAATATGGTGTGAGGTGGACATGGCAGCTGGAGGGGCGAGCTGAGAGCTCACATCCTAAACTACAAGTAGAAAGCAGAGAGAGCGAGCCTGAAACACAGGAGTCTTTCAAGCTCTCAAAGCCCTCCTCCACTGACACAGTTCCTCCAACAAGGCCATATCTCATAACCCTCCTCAAACAGTCCCACAACTGGGAGCAAGTGTTCAAACATCTCTGCCTGTGCGGGACATTCTCACTCAAACCACCACAACTTCGTGTATAAAGCAGTCTGTTTATGTATTTTCCTATTTTTTAAACATTTATTTATTACCTTTACTTGTGTTTTGTGTTTGTGAGCATGGTGAGTACACAGGAATATCCAGTGAACTCCCAAATGTTTACTTCTATAATTTTTGTCTGTGAAATGTTATGGATGTTAGCGTTAGCAGAAATGTTATGACTAAGTTAGATGAGTCACCATAACCTACCATTAGCGTGGTTTGACTCCTCATTATGCCTAGAGACTTAATGTCTTTGCCCTGTCAACCCATAGGCAGTTTGTTTTACCTTCCCATGTTCAGCTAACTCTCATGGACTTCACCACTTCATTAAAAACCTTGCTAGGTTTTCAACAAACTTGGCTGTGACTTAGAAAAGGAAACAAATGAATGTCTTGAAAATACAAAATACAATTGAGGGCTTGGATCTAGTGTTCGGAGCTAAGGAGAGGAATCATATCACAACCATAACTGGCCAAAGAAGCTCTAGAACTGTAGTATTTGGGACTATCCATGAGATTTATACATGATGAAAAGAAAGCTCAACCCGGGTAAAAGCTAACGAGACGAGACGCCATATTTGCTTATTCTCTATTCCCTTTTGCTGCTTTGTGGTTCTCCTTCACCTTTGACCATAGATTAAAAGGGGTAAACATCCTACGCACCTCTGCTGTAATCTGCTTCTGTATTACTGGTTTACCTCGAGGACAGGAAATTCACCGTCTGAAGTCGTAGCTGTAGGACGTCAGCTTTAGGGGAGTGCCGGGATGGTGGAGGTGGCGTCAACTCTGCCTGTTTCTGTTCCCGCTCCACCAGAATCTGTTTTGTACACACTTCGAAGAATGAGAATGAGGCTGGAAAATAAAGAGATCATAACAGTTTGCTTCCCAAATACAAACCCCTGAAAACGGTCTGAACCACAGGGAGGACCCGAACCCTGCATATACAGCTGACAGTCTCTGCAGCTTCTCTTCTAGCAAAAATTGCCATCTACTTCTCAACCCATTCTGTTTCTTCACACCACCAGGCTTTCATGCCTATTTCCCTCATCCTAGTGTGTCCTCTGTGTGACAGTCACTCCTTAGCACACAATAGGGTGTTTATAAGTGTTTTCAATTATACAAAGGAAGAAGGTGAGGGAAGTGCCAAGTCCAAAATTCAAGCCAGGCGGTGGTGGCTCACACCTTTAGTCCCAGCATTCGGGAGGCAGAGCCAGGCAGGTCTCTGTGAGTTCGAGGCCAGCCTGGGCTACAAAGTGAGATCTAGGACAGGCACCAAAACTACACAGAGAAACCCTGTCTCGAAAAAAAAAAATTCAACTCTTTTATGAATGTGTGTGTGTGTGTGTGTGTGTGTGTGTGTGTGTGTGTGTGTGTGTAACAACAATTAATGAAAAAAGAAGCCATGGAAAAGAAAAGCCAGGGGGTAGTATATGGGAGGGTCTGGAAGGAAGGGAAGAGGTAAACTATGTAATTGTATTATAATCTCAAAAATAAGAGAAATAATTTAAAATTTCAATCAGCATATAACAGATTAACAATAAAGCCTAAAGTCAAAGATTCTTCTCCATTCTACACATGGATTTGCTCCTATTCCTGCTTCCATTCCCAGGTGCAATTACCCACGTTTTGCTTGCTTTTCCTCTTTTCAAGAACAGCAGGGATGTACAGAGACTAGAGCAGCACACCTGAAATTTAAAAAAAATGGTAATTTTAATAGTAAATATTCAGTCCATACACAAGTAGCTCTGGTCACCTCAAAATGTGGGCACCTGTTTTCCCCTTTGCAGAAGCCAGTCAGGGCGCACACACCACATTCATGTAAAGGCCTTTTAAATTTCTTTTCTCTACCCCCCCACCCCCACCCACCAAGACAGGGGTTTTCTGTGTAGCTTTAGAGCCTGTCCTGGAACTCACTCTATAAACCAGGCTGGCCTCGAACTCACAGAGATCCTCCGGCTTCTGCCTCCCTCTGCTGGGATTAAAGGCCTGGGCCACCACTGCCTGGCTTAAGTTTCTTTAAAGGTACTCTTCTCTCCACCTCATATTTTTTTTTTACCATTCATAGTTGAAGAGAGTACAAGGACACACAGTTAGGTGTTAGATACTGGTGTGTGTGCATGCTTTGTGGGCTGTTGTAGGAGCCCTGACTTTTAAGGGTCGAAGGTAAACCATTATGATCTTTTTTTCCCCTAGCCTCACTGTGATTCCACTGGGTGGCAAGAGTGGAAACTGGCAGCCATTGTTGCACCCAGCACGTTCACCACTGACCTTGACCTTGCGTTGCTCAGACAAGACTTCAAGACAACATTTTCCAGGCTCAAGACGATCCATCACCGCAGTGGAAGTTCACCCTCGCTGCCAAGCAGCCCTCTGCCGGATGAACAAACAGCCTTCCTTTCAGAGAGAGGAGCAAGCTTCTGGCAGACTGGTTTCAGTGTGGCCAAAGTGCCTGCTCTGAAGTGCCCCCCTCTGAGTGGAGACAAAGTAGACCCTGGCCTGGCTGGCAGGCAGTGTGAACTGAATCCCACTGTGAACAGCACAAGCTTCACTGGGCCTGCTTGGGTTGGCAGCGTGAAAGGGAACTCGTGGAGCCAAGTTCCCCATCCTGTTTTTTCCAGCTTCCACTTCAAAATAAAGTGAAAATCTCTGATTCTATTGAGCACTGAAAATAGGACCCAAAGATTTAATAAGACACACTTCTCCAAGGAAAATAATATGGAAGATTTGGGGTTTCATAAGTGTAAGCGCAAGGAAGGGACCTTTCCTAAACAGAGGTAGTTAGTAATAAATTGTTTTGCTCTGTTTTAAAAGAGGCGCATTTTAGGTACAATAACTTACGTTCTCCTGAGTCCTTCCAGAAAGGTTATTTTCTATTTACCTTTCTACTGGCCTTCCTTGCAATCATGACAAGTAAAATCCTACAGTGATTGAATGAATGGGCTTTCCTGTCAGACCCTTCGGTGTCAGTGCCAACTCTGCCCACTTCTTATTTTTGCAACATTGAATAAAATATTTAGTCTCTCAGAGTTCAACCTCTAAACACTAAGGCTAGGACTACAGCTATGCCCTGGGCTTGTCCCAAGGGTTAGATGACTGAAAATATGACTTACTTTTTGGCATCAGGCATGTGTGGCAGAAGTTGCTACTTCATGGCAGCCAGGAAGCAGAGAGAAGGGGTAGGGAACAAGACACAGCTCTCCAGGGCATGCCCCAGTGACCTACACCCTCCAACTGGGCCCCACCTTCTACTTATTCTACCTGTAATGCCATCATAGTAAAACTCCATCCAGGGATCAAGTCATTTGCTAGGTCAGAGCCTCTAGGACCCAATCACTCCCAAAAGCCCCCGACTGGCAACTAAGTCAACGATGCATGGGCGTGGCATTTAAAATCAAACTGTAGCAGGGAATATTTACAGAGTTGTACAACTATTAACCACTATTTTATCCCACAATGGTGTCAGCACCATGAAAAACAGAAAAGCCTTGTGCACATCGGCAGCCGCTCCCAGGTGTTCTCTTGTCACAGTCCTTGGTCTTCACTCAGTTTCTCTGGGTCTACCTGTTCTGGACATCACAGCAACTTAAATGGAATAGTGGAATGTTGGGAATTTTGTTTCTGACTTCTCCCACTAAGCATTATGTGGTAGTTTGAATGTAATTGGTCTCCATAATCTCATAGGGAGTATCACTATTAGGAGGTGTGGCTTTGTTGGAGTGAGTATGACATTGTTGGAGGAAGTGTGTCATTGTGGGGGCAGGCTTTGAGGTTTCCTATGCTCAGGATACCACTCGGAGTCTCCGTCGACTTCCTGTTGCCTGTGCAAGATGTAGGACTCTCAGCTGTTTCTCCAGCACCGTGTCTGCCTGCACGCTGCCTTGCTCTCATCATGATGATAATGGACTGAACCTCTGAACTGTAAGAGTGCCACCCAAATTAAATGTTTTCTTCATAAGAGTTGCCATGGTCATAGTTTCTCTTCATAGCAATAGAAAAACCTAACTAATACACATAATGTTTTCAAAATTCATGTACACTACAGCAACTATCAGAACTGTAGTGTGTGTGTGTGTGTGTGTGTGTGTGTGTGTGTGTGTGTGTGTGTGTGTGTGTGTGTGTCTGGTCTGTCTGTCTGTCTGACTACTGATAATCCTCATCCTAGGATGAGGTCATTTCTCAATAAAGGCCCATCATAAGTGGCAAGTAGTATAAGTCAAAAGTAGGTTGAACATGCCTAACCAACCAAGTGTAGCTTAGCTAAATGATATATTGTGATATACCGTAGAATGTCAATTGTCACCCCCAATGATGGAGTGACTGACTGGGAGCTTCCAGTCTCCAGCAAAGTCAGAGGGTGTCACACTGCAGGTCAGCAGCCTGGAGAAAGATCACCCCTCTTGAATGCACAGTGGCTTCCCACCGTGTGAGACAGGACAACAGCTAAACAATCAGACTTAGGGAACAAATTAACTGGCAACATTTTCTTTACTTGTTCATCAGTTGACGAACATTTTAGTTTTTCCACTTTGCAGTTATTATGAATAATGTTTTTATAAATATTTATATACATATTCTTATCCCTCTGTGTATGCATGTGTATGTGGTTACATGTGATGTGTGCAAATGTGTTTGTGTGTGAGGACACACGTGGAAGTCAGAGGGCACCAAGAGTCAATCCTCACCTTGTTTAAGGCAGGCTCTGTCTTGTCCATTGCTGCACTGCATACTCCAGGCCAGCTGACTAATGAGGGGTCTTACACCAGGCTTCGTGCAAGCTAAGAAAGTCCTCTACTACTGGCTGCACCCCAGCATTCATTTTTGCATTTAAAATTATGTCTGAGGGATGGGGGTACAGAGCAATCATCTAGCACATGGGAAGCCCTGAGTTGGAACCTCACCAGTGTAAGCAAAATAAAACCTACGTCTAAAGGCCTTTTTGTGTTTAGAAGGAGAGAGGCATCATGTGTGTGAATCTGTTGTGGTGCTGACTGTTCACTGGGTGTTCAGAAATGATAAAGAGGATAAAGACAAGATCAGGGCCCCACCATCCCCTTTACAGTCGGTCACATTACCAGTGAAGAAAAAACGTCCCATTAGGACTTGCTGCTTAACAGCTCCACCACGTCCCAATACAGCCACAGCGGACACCGAGTCTTTACCACATGGGCATTTGAGGGACGTTTAAGAGCCAAAGTCTCCAAACTATGGCAGCAGAAGAGGGAAACACAAAGAGAAAGAACCGTATTGGATAAGAAAGTTGTATGTTCTTTTTTTTTTTAAAGATTTATTTATTTATTATATACACAGAAGAGGGTGCCAGATCTCATTACAGATGGTTGTGAGCCACCATGTGGGTGATGGGAATTGAATTCAGGACCTCTGGAAGAGCAGTCGGTGCTCTTAATCTCTGAGCCATCTCTCCAGCCCCCAAGTTGTATGTTCTTGAAGGCAAATGTGCAGCATTCTGGGGGACTGCCAGAAATTCAGAGTGCTGGGCTGAGAGAACAGAACACACCACAGTGAAAATAAACCTAGACCAGGTATAGTGGTGTGAGCCACAGCTGAGGAAGCTGAGGCAGGACAGCTTGAGCTTACCAATGTGAAGCCAGCCTGATTTTCAAAACAGGACTAGCGATGTTGCTCAGTGGTAGCATTTACCCAACAGGCAGGCACAAGTTCATGGGTTCTATTCTCAACACTCACAGAACAAGGAAGGAGGACAAAATGAATGAATGAAAGGCAGATCATAATCAAACAAAGTAATCTGGATCTCATCCTATGCGTGACTGGAAATCATCAAATATTTCAAACAGGAGAAGACTCAAATCTGTGTATAAGAAAGATCCTTCTAGCTTCACCATGGGAGAGAGAAGACACGTAAACCTAAAGTTTATAGGATTCTAAGTAGTACCTGGATCGATACAAATTGCACTGCAGTGAACATCAAGGACTGGGATGAAGCTCACCAGCAGAGCACTAGCCTAGCGTGTGCAAAGCCCTGGGTTCAATCCACAGCACTGGAGATAAAGAGAGAAAATAAAACAAAAACAACTTTCACAATGGTGTGTATGGGTGGGGGTAGGGTGGGCTGGAGAGACAGCTCAGCAGTTCAGGGCACTGGCTGCTCTTCCAGACGACCAGGGTACCATTCCCAGCACCTACATGTGGCTCACCACTGCCCGTCACTCCAGTCTCGGGGATCTGATACCCTCTCCTGGCTTCTCCAGCACTGCATGAAGGCGGTGCACAGACACATGCAGGCAAAACATCCTTACACATAAAATTAACTTTAATTTGATTTAATTTTTAAAAATAGTGTGTGGCTAAAGAACCTCTCATAGGGTGGATTAGATATGTTCTTGAGACTGGGGGTGCAGTAGTAGGGAACATGGGAATATACCCCAGCACCTCTTCCCACAAAAGGCATATTTTGTGATTGGAGAAAAAAAACATAAAAAATAGTTCATAAGACATCACTTAAAGTGAGAGTAAGCATGGACGGGAAGCATAAGAGCCAAGGTTCAAGCCCCATTTACACACACCCAGACACACACCCACCAGTGTGAGAATGGGAGTGATTTCATCTGTTGTTGTCTTACAGTTTGTTTACACTAGTGCTGAGGGCGCACAAAGGCCTCACTCATCCTAAGCAAACATCCAATCACTGACATCATCTTGTCATCGGGAGCTCACAATGGCTGTGACTCAGACCTGGGCCCACCTGGAAACATGGGATTCTGGGATGTTTAGGAGGAGGAGGAGGAGGACAATTTGTTTCATGTCAGTTAGCTTCTCACTTACATTCCTACTTACCAAAGAGTTTAAGAATGCTGTTGTTGTTGTTGTTGTTGTTGTTGTTGTTGGTGGTGGTGGTGGTGGTGTGTGTGTGTGTGTGTGTGTGTGCACGTGAGCATGTAGGCCAGTTGTCAACCTTGAGTGTTGATCCTCAGGCACTGTCTACCTTGTGTTTTTGATTGTTCATTCGTTTTTGGTTTTGTTTGTTTGTTTGTTTTTTTTCGAGACAGGGTTTCTCTGTGTAGTTTTGCGCCTTTCCTGGAACTCACTTCGTAGACCAGGCTGGCCTCGAACTCACAGAGATCCTCCTGGCTCTGCCTCCCGAGTGCTGGGATTAAAGGCGTGCACCACCACTGCCCGGCTCATTTGTTTTTTTTATGCGTAGGAGTCTTTTACCTCCATATATGTGCGTGCACTGTGTGAGCACCTGGTGTCTGTGTAGGCCAGAAGAGAACACTGGATCCCTCTGGAACTGGCGTTATAGATGGTTGTGAGTTGCCATGTGGCTGCTGGGGCCTGCGCCTGGTCCTCTAAAAGAACAGCAAACAATCCTTGAGCCATCTCTCCAGCTTGGAGACAGGATCTC